TCTTTCCCTGGGGCTGTGGATGTTGGCCATGGCCAAAGGACACTGCATCTTCAAGAGCTCACACCCAGGCTTCTACCTGGAGCAAAAATTGTGGTCAGATCCAGGTGGGGAAGAAAGGGTAGACAGCCTGGGCACAGTCTTCAAAGCTGTCTAGACAAAGTCAGGCTGACCTCAGTGGGATTCCCATGCCTGAAGGTCTCCCAACATTGAACCAGTTGTCCCTATGAGAATGAGGGAAAGTCATCCCAGTTTCTACCTGAAGGCCTGGTAGAAGGCATGTTTGTGCTTGCTGTTCCAGTCCTCCAGGTCGATGCGCAGAGAGTAGTCCCCTTGGCTTGTCATCTTGTGGATGTTCTCATTGCCCAGCCAGAACTCACCATTGAGGTCTCCAAAGCCCTCCCTGTACTCATTCCAGGTTCGGTTGAAATCGACTGAGCCATCCTGACGCCTCTGGATGACTGTCCAGCCCCCACCTGGACAGAGAGAGAGAGAACATAAAATGGGACTCTCCAGGAGCACCCAAGGAGTCCAAGACTGGTGTCACCTCTGAGTGTCCACCTGCAGCTCAGCAAGGTGTCTCCCTGTCATACCTCCTCCCACCAAGCGATAAAATACAGCGTTGGTTGCTGCACAGGGATAAAATGTGATGCCTGTCATAGCTCATGGAAAAGGCCTCCCACCATGTTGGTTCCTGATGATGTTCCCCTGTTGATTGTCCCAGGTCTTAAGGTGGTTTTAAATGAGAGGGACCTAGAAGTTTTCAGGACACAAATGTTTTGGGATTGGAACAAACTGGAGATGCTGGAGTTTGGAGATTGTTATGTACTGTTCCTGCAGCACCACAGAGGCACACAGGCTCTCCCAGTATTGTCTCACTGTCTCCATCTGCTCTCCCATCTGTCCAAATCTCTCTCTCCTCTCTCATTTGCTTCCAATATTGTAAGCTAGGAGCAGGGCTGGGATAGGGACCATCTTTTTATTTGTTGTGTGGACAGACTGTCATTCTACAGCGTCCAAGATTGTGGCACTGGGCATGCAAATAATAGCAATGACATAACCGAGACCAGAGTGTCTGAACAGCCTGGTTCTTAATGACTGCATGCAACCCAAAGCTGCAATCACTTGCAGATCCTCCAACGAGTGTCTTCATATGGGGAGCTGAGCCTCTTCCTCCAGCTTGGGATGTGTGGATCACAGAGCCAGAGAATGGTTTGGGGTAAAAGGGACCTTAAAGATAATCTAGTTCCAACCCCCTTGTCATAGGCAGGGACACCTTCCATAAGACAACATCCATCAGGGCTGGAGTAGATCCATGGGGCAAAGGACTGACCATTCACTGCCCCATTTCCCTAATGATTGTTATTATTCTTCCAAAGCTCGAGGGTCACAAACTAGTTTTGACAGCAAACAGGTGCCTCGGGATGACAGTAGCGCTTCACAGGGATGTGTAGCAACACAGCTGTGGGAGGTCACCTGCTCCCTCCTTACACTCCAAAATATCTGTGGGAGAGGATCTACCTCCCCTCTCCTCACTTCAATTTATGATTGCCCACACATAGACTTCAACCACTTGGAGAAGCTACAGATACCCCCCAGTGACCAGCTGCGACTCCAGAAGGGCTTCTCCCTCCCTAAGCTGGGTGTCAAATTCACTAGTGTGTTGCAAACACGTAGGAGGCATGAGGGCATCTCAAGGAGCACTGAATGCCTGTACTTAGGCAATGGAATCCCAGCCATA